GGTCTCCTCTCCGTGGTGGTTGTTGGCACACCGATGAAGAATAGGGCTCCGGGGCGGCGGCCCCTATTCGAGGCGATGGCGGCTACGGCGGCTGCTACTTGTGAGCTGCGTTCGTATTTTCCCCGAAGAGGAGGGGATATGCAATACATTAGAAATAAGTATTTTCCTTAGTGAGAACCAAGGTTCATCGAACCAAAAAGGAGAATCATGCAAAACCTCGTGAACAACACATGTACACACGAAAGCAAATACTTGCACGCAGCGCGGGCATAAGGGTTGTCAATCCCCTTGAACATGTTAATTGCAAGAATCAAATCTCGTAGTTGTAGATATAAATTGCAAAACAATATAGAAGAAATAAAATTGCAGCAAAGGTGTTTTGGTTATGTGTGTGTGTGTGTGTGTGCGCGCGCGCGCGCGTGCAAAACAATTTATTGGCTTATGTCTCCCCTAAATTAAACTAGACCCAGGGGCCATAGTTTTCACTAGAGGCTTCTCTCTCGAACACAGAACATACGGTGGATGAACAAATTACTGTTAAACAATTGATATAAAATCGCATAGTTATGACGATATTCAAGGCAATAATCATGTATATAGGCATCACGTCCGAGACAAGTAGACCGACTCCTGCCTGCATATACTACTATTACTCCATCCATCGACCGCTATCCAACATGCATCCAGGTATTAAGTTAATAAAAACAGAGTAACGCCTTAAGCAAGATGTCGTGATGTAGACAAAGTAAACTCAATCAATATGAATGAATCCCATCGTTTTACCCTTAATGGTAAAAATACAAATACTTGTCTTGTCTTCTTCTGTCACCGGGATAGAGCACCACAAGATTGAACCCATCACAAAGCACCTCCCCATTGAAAATAAATCAATCTAGTTGATCAAACCAAATGGATAGATCGAAGAGAAATACAAAGCTATAACAATCATACATAATAAAGTTTAGAAAAGACTCAATTACTTCTCATGAGTATTCAGATCATAAACCCACAATTCATCGGATCCGAAAAAACACATCGCAAAAGAAGATTACATCGAATAAAACTCCAAGAACACCGAGGAGAATATTGCATTGAATATCAAAGAGAGAGAATAAGCCATCTAGCTACTAGCTATGGACCCAAAGGTATATGGTAAACTACTCATGCATCATTGGAAGGCAGCAAGGATGATGTAGAAGCCCTCCGTGATCGATCCCCCCTCCGGCAGAGTACCGAAAAATGCCTCCAGATGGGACTGTAGAAGAACAGAAGCTTGCAGCGGTGGAAAAAGTATTTCGGGTGGCTCCATTGGTTTGGGAATATTTATGAAGTTATAGAGGTGAAATTAAGTCAAGACGTGCTACGGGGGGCTCGCAA